TTATCCAGTCTGTAACAAACAGAACTCATAGCGCAGCTGTAGAGACCAATGATGTCAGTATCATCGGCGTACGCCAGCAGCTGTACACTCTTATAGGAGATTTTACCTTCTCTATTCAGTTCTGTAGCTCGCATTATTTTGGCCTGCAATAAATATAAGAAGTCGCACGTTAAGGAATCACCTTGAAACCTAACTTGGTAACGAACGTTTCGGAGTGGTCCTTTGCGAACCTAACGAAGAGTTTGGTGTTGCTTAACAACAGTTTATACAGCCGTATAAGTTTTGCGAGAATATCAAGTTCAGATATAGTGGCGTAGAGGGTGTCGAAGGCTGATATAAAATTTTCTTAACGATCTTCTTTTCACGGCTCGTATCCAAAATTTGTCGCATGGTGAATATCTGTTTAATGGTTGACTTACCAGTTATAAAGCCACATTGATAAGGTCGAATTTGTTTGTTGACGGTGGACTATAGTCTTTCAGAAAAAACGTTCGATAAAAAGCCCATGCGATATTAAGGAGGTTTATCACAAAGAAAATGGCGTAGTTTGTGGGTACCCACTTTTTGTAGATTGAACAGAGCCCATCTCATCAGAAAGGCCCAAAAGAAAACCAAAGGGACTCTTATAAAGTGGCTTAGGTTGTTATACCAAATTTTTTACTCTCTGAAAAAATAACATCTGCGTTCTCAACTTAAGGCAGTAGTCACCTTTAGAACCCAAAAAAAAAGCGTTTTTTCAGCAAATTTTTTTGAAAATGAAAAAAATTAGTGTGGTAAACGCAACTTTCAGACAATAATCTGCTATATTTAGGCTTTAAAAAGCAATTTCTAGTATAAAAGTTATTGGAATTTTATATCGTTGTGATGAGTTTTCTAAAGCGACTGCAGTCTGAACTCGTGAAACGGTGCCACAGTCCTCGAACCAAATTTTTTTTTTGTTATTTAATTTTTATGTGTGTCTCTTTTATGTGAACTAAAAAAAATACCTAAGAAGTTGGAAAACTCCCAATTTTTTCGAAGTTCAAAAAACGTTATTTTTTGGAAAAACAAATTTACTTTAAATTGCAAAAAAAAAAATTGTCCAACTTTTTCAGTTCAAATATAAGATAGATCACTTAGTTTTGAAAATGAAAACTCGAGAAAACGACTTTCAAAGTTCTGCTCGAGCATTCGAACCTGCTCCCCTCTCGGCCACTAAAACTTGCCCTAGTTTATAAAATATGTCGAATTCACCATTGAAATTTTTAAGACACATTTTTGGATAGTTTTCGAATAGATCTGGGTGTGGAAAAATGCATTTTGAAGTAAATTAAAATTTAGATTATTTTCCCCTAAAATTTTGTCATTAAAAATTAAAAAGCTTTTGTTTGTTGTCAATTATTTTTTTTTTGCAACATCCAACACTGTAGAATAATATATAAGACCTATAATTAAATAAATATATTTGTTTGTGTGCACAGTAAACTTATACGCCTGCTTTTCGAATAAAGCAAATAATTTATTATGGGCCAACATAAAAGGGAGATGGTCGAGATTAACATCAAATACGTAACACTGGTGAAATTAGCACGGTAAATCCCAACTAAAACATAATGCACACACACACACACATACACATATATCTATATAGCATATGCAAAAGTCTGTATACACAATTTTGAGATACACAAACTCAATAATACAAACTTACCTCCTCAGCTAAATGCCATCGTCGACGAAAGACGGTCATGCGACCTGACAACTTTCCACCCCAACAAAACCTTTATATTGTAGTTCAACGTACGGACGGATATACGAGTATGAAAGCAGTAGACCCTTCGTTGTTACTCGTCCCAAAAACACTCACACATACATACCTACAACTGTAGTAAAGCCTTCTTCATAGGATAAAAAGGGCTTTTACCTTTAATGTATGCTAAAAATTTTCCATAGAATTGGGGGCTAAAGGCAAGTCAGTTGATGAAGAAACACAATACAGTCGAAATGAATGACAAAAAAAAGTGAACGTAAGCCCGAAGGAGGAAAGACTTTCAGTGGAATAAAGCGTATACTCGTATAGTGTAAAAAAAGAAATGAGAACCCGTCTGAGAAGTGAGTAGTAATCGCCACCACCGCGTGGCCTGACATTTATGTATCTACCCAGCGAAAGGAAGCATACTGAGTTTATATTTAGTATATGTCCTTGCATGGGCACATACATACATATATAAGATATCTCAAGTTACGTTGAAAAGTTTGCTAACAAGCAGACTACGGCAAAGCCAATGGGGACGCAAGTAACCTGAATTCCAAATAAAGGGCGGAGTAACAGTCGTACATATATAAATATACGAGTATAGAACCCAAGGAGGAGGAATGTAAGCAGTTAATTTCAGCGCTGTTCTATTTCTGACGCAATAGAAAATCGATTAAAAACCGCAACTGAAATATTTTCGATGTCTTCGACTTCTTAACTTCTAAATCTATTGGAATAAAAATTGTGTCTAGTTAAAAGCAATCCATTATTTTTAGAATAAACTGAAGGCTTTATATTTGCAACGTTTAGCCATTTTGAAGGCAATTGTCATTATGGCTCTCGCAAAGAAACCCTTAACCCTAGTGGCAAAAACAATCTTTTTCACAGGTTTCTCTGTAAATCAATTCTTCATCAACCAAATCATTCGTCATACCCAGAAACAGACGGTAATCACTTAGTGAGAGGTCCGGCTGTAAGGTGTGTGCATAAGATCCTTGTAACCAAGCTCTCGGAATTTCTTGCGAGTCATTACCGATGTGTGTTCTGATGCAGCACATTTTCGCTTTTCTGGCCAAAGCTGGGCGCTTCTATTCGATTGCTTCCTTCAGACGGCCAAATTGATGACAGTACAGCTCCGAATTTAGAGTGTGGTCGTAGAAGAGCAGCTCACAAAACTTTTCTGACCGTCTATCTTGGCTTGGAGACTGTTTATCCCCGCTCACTTCCCTTCAGCCATGACCATTTTCCTTTGAAGTCGCTGTAAGTGATCCACTTTTCATTACTAGTCACCATACGCTTTAGAAAGGTGATTTCGTTACGATTCAGCAGCGATTCGCAAAGGGAATTTCGGTCTATGAGATTTTTTTTGTGTAGCCAGCTTTTTTCAAATGGTTCTCACTATTTTTTGTGCAATGTTTAGCCCCTGGCCAATTGAAACAGTGCTCAAATGATGGTCAGACCCGACAATGTGCATGTTTTTATCGACATTTTCGGCAATTGGCCTTCCACTGCGTGAAGTTTCTTTTACATAAAAATTGCCGGAAAGAAATACCGAAATTCTGAATTGTAGCAGTATCAGGACCAAAAACCAGAAAAACTTTTTTTTAGTACGAAATGTCATCTTTCTAATGCCATCTAGCGAATCGACCCGATCGGACTTACTCACCGCGAGATACAGATAAAGAAAACGATCTATTGGAAAAATAATGGATTACTTTTTACTATACCTAATATTTGGTTATTTCATAGACCTTTCTTTGTCTCAAGCAGTTCTATTTATTTATAATTTAACAGAAGCACTTGTCTTCTTGGTCACTCCGTTTCTTCCACTTTTATGATTTTCCCCTAATAGGGGGAGAAAGGTTCATGAGCTGAAGCATACAAAAACTCTCCTACTCTAATGGGGCATTCATGCTCTTTTTCGGGATCTCACTAGAATATCACTCAACCTCTACTTCCCCCTCCCTGCCATCGTCTTTGGATAGGAAAGCCAGTTCCAGCGCGGTTTTTGCTCCTACTAGCATGTTGCCTTTCCTACCGATGCTTGATTTTCATAGTAAAAATACTGTATCCCATATGCTATCATCGAAACGTTTTTTGGCAGATATTTTTGGGCGGTGTCTCAGCCATTTCGTTCGAAATATCTCCGCCATTTCGTTCGAAATATCGCCGCCTACTGTTTGTTGTTAACGCCCTCAATCCACGTATGTACGGCGTTTTTGTGCGAGCTGGACCTTATATGGATGTAGGTGTGAGTCCAAGTGCAAATGATGTCATAATGTGACGTAAGAAAGTCCCGCTACTGAGACCATCGAAATAAAGACACTTTTCGAGTCTTCGAGATAAAGACACATTTCGAGTATTCGGTTACATTTTCACTTTCTGTAGCGATTTTTGTGGTGGAGTATTTTCCGAGGAACTTGTGTCGCGCAGATGTCAAGGCTGGTCAGTGACAGAGGTAGTGTTCAATTCATCTTCTTCGTCCCTATAAATCTCGCATAAATCATTTGGGTAGTAGTCTATTCTTGTCTCGTAAAGCCACATTAAAAAGTTGCCTGTTATTATGACCGTCGTCATGTTAATGGAGAACCGGTCGAGAAGGATAAGATCTTTTGATTTTTTCGTGTTCAATCTTAGCTTTCTGTCTGGTCTGATCTCATTCAGCAAAGCTTGTTTCTGCTTCTTTGGTAAAGGTCAGTTTAAGCGTATACTTTGCCGTGTGGATGTTTTGTTGTGGATAGAAGCGTTCCTTTTCTCGCTAGTACGTCTTGTCTTAAAGCACGAAACGTGGCCACGTTTGAATCACCATTTAAGCAGATTGACAGATGTAAAAACTTTCGAAAGCACGAAATGGATAACCTTATTTGTACCTAGTTAATTCACCTAATAATAATAATTGACATAAAAACTAGATAAATTAAGTCAGAACTGAAATTTATTTCTATAATTTAAACATTGAAAACTCATTTTGGCTCAAAAGTGGCGAGAATATATACAACTAAAAATTAAATTTACAGTCACTTTGTTTAACAGTGTTCTAAATTATCTAAATAAACTTAAGCTTAAAGTTTCAATTTCAATAAATATAGGAATAATTTCATGAGATAAATAATTTAAATGAATAATATTTACATGTTTTCAATTCATGATAAAAATTTTACAGAAATTAATTAAATAACTTGGAAAAACTTATACGATGCTTTCGTTAAAAAATATGAGTATGTGGATTAATTTATGTTAATTCACTCTTATTATTAATTACCATAAATAAAAATTAATTTATTTAATTGAAAAATTAACGAATTGATTAATAAGTGAGTTTTAATCATGAGTCTGTTATTAAAGGACTTTTAAAAACGTAAGATGATAAAAATATTTTCCAAAAGTCCATAGAGAATGTAAACTAGCTTACTAAACAAGCGTCTTTCCAAGACCGATACAACAACAACAATATGATTCTTAAATTAAACCACACCTATGTACATATGTTTCTTCTATATTAACAAATTGAAAGTAGAATTTCGTTTGTTAAGCGTCAATACTTGACTCATTTTGAACATAATGATTGCACAAGCTTTTTATCTCACTACTTATGTACATATGTATATCTGTTTCATTCTTTGATTTTATGCGCAAATAACTATTATAGCGGTAATGACTTTAAAACAAGTCACCAGGCACCGCTCAAGGCAACTTTCATAGGAATCACATATATTTTTCGTAATTTAAGCTCTAAATTGTGCCATTAACTCTGATTAAGTGTCGTCCTTGTGTGGTGGATGCTTGAATATATCTTCCAGCTGTGATATTAGACCGATAACACGATAGTTCTCCTCCAACATTGCGAACTCCTCCAGGGGTTTCAAGAGTTTGAGTGCATCTTTATAGTTTTTCACATGCCTTGGCAACTCTTCTTCGTCCGGATCACTATGCTCCGACCAGTGGCCAGGACTGGGTATAGGTTTATCAATTATTTGTGCGCCAATCGATTCGATTTTGTGTATTTTTAAAGGTTGATGTGGGAAATCAATTTCGACGCTTGGACGCTTTCGACTATTAATTGCTGTTTCTAGTAAGGCTGCGGCTTGTGTGGCAACTGGCGACGAAATCTGTTGTGATGCCGTTGGCAGTGTTATAGTTGGTAAGGTTCCCGCGGGAAGGGGCGCTAGTGGTGGTGGTACCAGAGTGCTTAAGCTCACCACTCTTAAAGCTGGCAGTTGTTGAATTGAACTGCAATTCTCGGCGTTCAAATTGACTTTTTGTTGTTGCTTTTCATTTGTAAGCGCTATTGTGTTTATAGTTGCCTTTGTTGCCGTTATTTTTGTTTCACCTCCCGCCGCTTCTGGTGTTTCGGGTGGAGGCACCAGTTCATGTACATTCGGTTTGATATCCTGCTCCTCCTCATCCGCGTCCAGGTCTATCACTTCTTCTTTAATTTTCGTTGGCAGCGTTCTAGTTGTCGTGGTTGTTGCTGTTGCTGTTGTCTTGGCGATTGCCGTTGGGTACGGCATGCGCTCATGCGCACCCACATCGTCATTGCGGTGCAAATTGAATGTGTGTATTTGTACAAGTGGCGCGGTGACTGGCGGTGTTGTTGTTGCTGTTCTGCTTACCTGCTGCTGTTGTGTGGCTTCTTTCGGTGCGAGCGTTATGGTGCTCGGCGCTTGTTTTTTATTCTCCTGTCGACTGCAAAAGCTCAAAATGTCTTTCAAATCCAGTGAAAGTGGCGGCGGTCGGGTATCATCCGTTTGGCTGAGCATTGTTGGATAAGTAACGGTAATATAATTGTTTAACCACTCTTTGCTCGGATAAAAATTGTCAATCTTCAGCATTTCCTTCAATTCAAAAGCGACCTTCCGCAACGAATTCTCATTCATGCGCATCTTGTGATGATGACTCGCACGCTGCCAATACTCGAACAGCGTCTTTTTCAGAAAGTTAATCTTACGTAAACGCCGCTGTTTCATCTCCTGCAATGCCGCCTCATTCTCACCAGAGATGGCAATGCGTGTCGTGGTACGGTAAAGATCCGATTCCCTACTCTCCAACCCAGACAGGACCTGATTCGCTGTCGACACTTTTGCTTTATTCTTCGTGCAATACGTCATGATGTCCTTCAAATCCAACGACATGGGCGGTGTACGAGTGATTGTTATTTGACGATTTGAGAGCGAAAAGTTGTAGGTCGCCTTGAAGTGATTGATCCATGTTTTATTTGGCATAAAATTATCGATTTGTATCATTTCACGAAACTCGATAGCTTTCATGCGTAATAAATCTTCCGTTATGTGCGCTTTGGTGTGAAATTGTGCACGTTGTATATACTCGTAGAGACACTCACCGAGAAAGCTTATCTTACGTGAACGCACCTCAACACGATTGGTATCATTTTGCGTTTCTGCATTTCTTGTCGCCATGTAGAATTCCATGATGGCGTCCCGATTGGCGATAATGTTTTTAATTTGCTCCCAACTACAATTGAACATTTTCGCCACCTTCGTGTACATCGGTCGGCAATCGTAAGCCTCTATAGCGGCCACACGCTCTTCTAACGTCAGTATATTACGTATGCGTTGTGGACTCGGCTCTAGTACCGTCTGATCGATGTCGATGTAATCTTTGGCACTCTGAAAAGAGGTGGTACGATTAGTCGAGCTTTTCGTTGCTGCAGTTTGTAATAGAAATTTAAAAAATTGTAAAGGAATCATCTCAAAAATTTTATCCTATAAGTCGGTTTGGTTGATTGCGTTGTAAAAAAGCGGCCAAGCTCTGAAAAAGTGACGTCTTTTGAAACTTTTATTTGACTTTTGGCCTTAAATACGTGACGGAAAAATCAAAGGGTAGAAGTCATGTTTTGACAATTTCAAAGTTCAAGTAGCTTGGATTTTTACACGAAATGTTTTCTTAAATTTTTCATAATGCTTAAGATATTTGGTAAAAAAAAAAGTTTTGATAGAAACATTTTTTTAAACATTTCAAAGCGGAAAATATTGAAAGACTGTAATTTAATAAGATGAGACAAACTAGTACAAGAATTGTTTAAAGTCAGTAAGAAGTGATCGCGCAGTGATCTAACGACTCGTAACATCCTAACAATGGGACACATACAAACTGCCGGTTTTAGGCCGAGCTTTCCAAATGCACTAAACTTAAAGAGTCAACGTGACAAGTAAAGCAATAAATTTTTTCAAAAATTAGTTAGAAATTTTTTAATCCACACATACCTTGGCATCAGCTTCCTCTTCGTCTTCTTCTAGTATATCTTCATCCTCATCTAGATAATCCTCATTGGAGTTGAGTAGGAATTGTAGTTGTTTGTAACACCATAATTTTGGCTGATATATGTCTTTGTTACCCTTTCGACGTGATAATCGCTTTCGTTCTTCTGCCCACATTTGAGAGCGTAAAGTTTTGATCTTCCTTTTCAATGAATTTATTGTGACATCCGGTTTGACATCTACAAATTGTGCTACAATATCCCTATAGGCCTTCTCTTTCACATATGACTTGGAGAAATCTTTATGTGCACACTTATAGAGTACAGGATAACGTTCGAGTATGGAAATTAATACTTCAGTTTGTGGTTTAGTCCAGCTGTTCTCCATTTTTGTAAACGATTTATTTTTGCCTGCATACTCAGAGCAGATTCTAAAATTTGATAATGAGAAGCAAAAGGGTTACGTATACGAAAATGTTCAGATTACAAACGAAAAGCTTTATTTAATTTTTTTTATAATAAAAGTGCTTAAGCTTTTAGTGCGGTTGGGGTTTTTGTTGAAAAGTTAAAAAAAAAAGAAAAATCAAAGAAAGCTCGACCTAAATATACCTACTGACTGTTGTGCTTGTGCCTTTCATAATACCGTTAGATATTTAATTAAATTAAGTAAGGAGACTTTAAAAAAGAAAACAATATATTTTACAGAATCACAACATTTTACTAAGCTTCATTCCTGCAACTCCAAAGCTTAAGGGTTAATTTGTGTACCAACAGGCAGACGGGTCGCACACAGGTGCTCACAAAGTACAAATTTCCATCTAAATTTTGCTAGGTGCAATGCTTCTTCTGTCGAACGTTGTTCCAAAATTAATAGCACTGTTCGGTGTCAGTAAGAATTAGCCCGTAAAGAAGTGTCTCTCGGTTCAAATTTTGCTGTCTTTTTGCCTTAACGATCGCGGATCATTAAGAATTGGTAACAATCAGAGCACAGAACCGAGTTAATATTTTAAAAATAACGAAAGTTTGGAAACTAATTTTTCGAAGCGATGAAGGACCTGAGCATTTCAATGACCTTGTTAAACGCAAAATTTGCTGAATTTTCACACTTTCGAGGGTACAATTTCAGAATATCAACCACCAAAAAAGTATTGAGACATTTTCGCATAGATAATTATCAGATCTACAATTTTTGTTCAAATTACTTTATGTTTTAGAGGGACTTGCAAAACCTCCTTCTTGCCTATACGCTCGAGTGGGGACTGCTGGACAGTTGCTGAGGTAATGACGACCCACAATCTACTGGTATGCCATGCAAGGAGATTGGTCATATGTAGGAAATGCGAGAAAAAAAGGAGAAAGGAGCATGTCTGAGACGTTAGATCACCTTCTCTATTTCTGAAAGACCTGTGCTAGAACTCGTTCAAGATATATCGGAGCTGCACAGTTCTAAGAATTAGAGGAAGTTAAAGCTAGACGCTCTTGAAATTCGTGGCGTAGTATACGACGACTACTTTATATGATAGATGATTTAGATGATATAAAAATTAAATCTTTCCAGTTAAACGATCGGTTGTTTTTATTTCAAAGTAAAGAGGATATGCCATTAATAATGGAAAACAATATCAGATCAACACCATCAAATTCCGACTATAAAAAATCATTATTCATCTTTCAACAGTGTAATTTTCGAAAAAAAATATAGGGTCATTGGACCACACCAGACCATAAACTGCAGGAAACAGTTACACATTGAGCTTGGAGAGGCTTTTCAAAAATAATTCTTGGGCAGGCCATCGACGTGGAAACGAACCTCATTAGTTTAGATGATTTTTTGCTGAAATTCTGGATAATTTTCATGCATTTAAAGAACCCAATCAGCAAGGATATCAGGTTGTTGATGGTAGAACGGCTTGGGTTCTTGTGTTTACTGAACTTTAGAAAACACTTTATATAAACGACACTTGATAACCGCTGAAGCGATTTTCGGCCGAGCTCTTTCTCCAATTTGATGTTTTCCAAAAAAAACATGAAAGGAACTATAGTTTATTTTAATTCGCCTCGTCCGATGGATTTTTATGAGAAGCCTTTTATTTCATTATTCTCTGCCGAGGGGAGACCACAATTAGAAAAGTTAACTTATTTTTTTATTAAAATTAATTTTCTAAAACTTTTGCATGTTGGCCGAACCAGGACTCTGACTTTCCGAGTGGTAGTATGCAATGCTAACTAATCGACTATGGCGGCCGCCGACTTTGGTTCACAATAAAGCGGACCTTCGTATGATACTACAAAGGACCAGCGGGTATATGTTAAATGCAGCAGCCGGCCAATGAGATCTCAGCGTTTTACTAATAATCATTAAAAGCCCGTTTTGTGACCTCTGACCCTGCGTACATTTTTTTTCAGATCTAGACCTTTTTGAACTCTATTTATGATGATTTGACTTTGCCAACTTCGAGATGGGTAGGAATTCTTGTACCTTCGGATGTCGAAACTAACCGAACTATTTTAATAAAAATTTTGCTTTAATTTTGGAACACTCTTTACTATTAGTTCCTTTTACGAGCCGAATACCGAGAATATAAATACATACATATGTACCAAATGTTGTTAGTATTCAATTTTACTAAAAATTTGATTGTATACACACATACATATATGTATGTATTATACTTATTTACTTTTCAATGCAAATTTACATACACATACTTATACTGAAAAATATATATGTATGTATACTTATGTTTAAACATAAATAGTTAAGTTTTTTAATTGGAGATTAGTATATTCTTATGTGTGCATATGTATTTAAAACCAAAAAAATACCAAATCCAACTCAGTTAATTATCAACTTATTTCGAAAACAAACTTCAAAACTCACCTTTTTCCTACTGATTTCCGTTACTGTTTTATGCTTAATACGAACTGCGTTCTTTAATGTTGAAAAACGATAAGCGAAATATGCAAAGAAGAAATATACAAATATATTATGCCTTTATCAAATTTACTTTAAATAAATTATTAAGATATTTACAAAAAAAAAGTCGTTTACTCCACAACACTCACTCACCTTTGCCATGTTCGACGGCTCAAACTGTAATGATAAATGCCAAAGCCTGTTTAACGTTCAAATGTTCCCCGACGATTTGAAAACAAGACACAACGAAACAACAACAAAACAGCAACAACCTTAGTAATAATAACTAAAAACAGCAAACCAGAACACTTAAACACCGCTGCTCAATGTCTTGTTAGCGTTAAAAAAACCAGTCAGCACGAGAAACTCGCTTAACCGGTACAAGATTTGTTAGCGTCAAGACGACGACGACGACGAGGACGACGTAACCGAACCAGTTTTGTCTGTTGTGGGTTATGAAAAACGCGTGTGCATTGATAATAGCAACAACAGCAACAACAATGATGAAAACGGCGTAATCAAGCGCACGGTACAAGCTCGTCGTTAACCGGTTTTTTTCATATACATACATATGTACATCGGTTTATCTGTTAGTATTCAAAAAGCTGCTTGACGCCTGCGCCACTGTTGCTGCACTGTTAGAAACCTCGGCACGCGCGTTGTTGCTGCAATAACAATAACAATTACACTTGTGCTTTTCTTTACTGTTGCCAGTGCTTTTGTTGCTGTTGCTTGTTGTTGCTACCTATGTGGTGGTCTCTATTTTGGCAACTTGTCGCGCGGACAGGTGTTAATGATTGCTTGCTCTCGAATGATTCACGTTTAGCACTTGACGAAAGAAAAGCAGCAACAACAATATGAACGCGTTAAATGAAATCAGCTGTAGCTTTTGCTGGCGCTGCTGCTGCCGCATTCAACTTCCGAACGTGCTAGCTTGTATTGTTGTTGTTATGCAAACATAAATACAAATTATGCGCGTGCAGCTGTATGTATGTAAGCACTCATATGTATGTATGTACATATATTTGCCGTGAATTATGTAACCACTTTCGTTGCCGTAAAAAAATGTGCGCCTTCACTTGTCTTATTTCAGAATTCTTTTCACTGCATGCACATCTGTATGTACGTATGAATGCATGCTTAAAAATGTGTATGTATGTATGTTAGAAAAAATCGCCAACCGTCACACACAACGATTTGTTATCTCAACAATGAAAGCTACAAAGCAGTACTAAATTCATTTCGACACTAATAAAACACTCGCCAACCATGCTTGGCGCCCTCGAAATAGACCTGAAAAGCAAGCACAAATGTGGCACAAAGAGAGGATGTGAGAGCATATCGGAGAATGAGTCACGAATGCAGTATCGTTGACTCTCCAACGGTTCTTCGTAGCCTTGTTTTTTTTACTTTGCCAGCGATGACGACGCCAATATGGATCGCGTTCGTACTGCAGACAATTTCAACGAGCAAGCAATCACTCGCAATGAGAGTAGCGATAGCAAGTGAAAACGGTGTGACGAGAGCGCAGTGGCGCTCACACACGCTCACATTACCTTTGTGCATGAGCACGAGTTATTGTGAGAGCATTTACTCGCATAACCGTTTCTTTAAGCAAGTGACATTGTTTTTTGCGATGTAGGTATGTATGTATTTATAAGTATATGTATATGATGTCATCAAGCATACGTACATATATATATACACCTTTATAAATGTACATATATAAATTTTCGTATACATTTACCTACATAAATATTTGTTTTATTTAGTAGCGTCGCCTTGGCTGATTATTCAAATGCGCACGTCGATTAGGAAGCAGCATTATTGTTGATGGCGAATGCACTAATAAAAGCAACTGTTATTTGAAATTTATTTTGGTTAAAAATGATTCGAAGTAAGTAAGTATGCTCGGGTAGCCAGCCGTCTATATTAGACATCTGGTTGACCGTGTGGATTCTATGGAATTTACCAGTGATGGAAAAATGTAACACTGTACATACATACATACATATTTACATATGTAGTTATTATATTAAAGTATAAGTGTCCTTCCGATTTCAACCATCAGCAATATCAGCAATTTCGGACTCTCTCTTTTCCGTCAGCATATTAATCTCGCTTCTCTCCAACGCAACGTTGCGAATCTCTTTTTTCCTCAACTGCGTCACGACAATCTTCATTGTATCAGGACTTTTTTCGATCTTGTCGAGACCTAGTAGAAGAATGCAAGTCGAGTAGAAAACCTTTTGCAGCCGCATTAGCCGAGTGGTTAGCATTGCGTAGGGACATTTGGAAGGTCAGTGTCTAAAATAATAGAAATTTTTTTCCTATTGGTAGAGAGAGTCAACCCCTCCCCACCTGCATTTCTGATAGGAAATAAAAGCATTCGTTCGGAGACGGCTTAGAATAAAGTATACTGTTACAATTTAAGTAGCTTCCTTGCGTTATTTGACGGGGTGTACATTTCTTGATTGCGACAGGATAGCGGTTTCAGTGAATGGCTCTCGGTATCTAGAACATAATCAGATATGTCTTTCGTCTATTATAACATGGTGGATTTGGTTCTTCCAAAGGGAGGCAGCCATCTTAAGCCGTAATCTGGTATCACAGACGGCCAGTAGAGTAAGTCCTACTTGGAAGACAGTGATGCCAACGAGGGCAACAATACCTTCGTAATTAAGACGAAGAAACTCTGGGTTCAAGTCAAGGTTGGACCAAAATCCGAGATTATAGTGAATTAATTTTTCTAATTGTACGCTCCCCTCGGCGGGGAATGTCCAGCACTCCGAGTGCATCTATTTCTGTCATCAAACAAAAAGATCCTCATAAGAACCTATCGGCCGTTCGGAGGTGTCTAAAAATAAACAAATTGCAGGAGCAACTCCAATGTATGTACTTAAAATGCTTGGGCTCATCTTCAGAAGTGAAGTTTCTCATTCGAAACTTTTTGGAACTTTTTATTGAAGCGTGACGGGTCCCAAGACGGCAATAGGAAGTACCAGTAAAACGAATATACATGTGCATTTGTTTGTAGGCACATACATATGTATGTATGTATATAGCGAAATGTTTGCTTCAAGACGCATGTCTGTTCGCGGTCACACCGATGTACATACATACATATGTATATTGAAGAGTCCATCCAGTTTAACTTTAGTCCAAAAAGGAGTGGTTACCGAAACATACTACAGAAAAATTGCTCACGACTTCAGGTGAGCTGTCAAGTAGACAGCAGTAAGACGGTCTTTATATACATACATAGTGTGTACATATGTATGTGATTAAACGATTTCGCTATTTTCTTGAATAAAAATTGTAAACCTTTTCCTTAGCTCATTACTCATATTCCTAAAAATATTTACATATTTACATATACATATGTGTTTACATAATTATTATCAAAAAAAAAAGTTAGCATTTAAAAAATCTAAAGCTTTAATTGTTGTTGTTGTTGATTCTCTGAGTGTTTGGAAATTAAAAACATTAAAAAAATTTCTTTCAAATATATTTGATGCTTTTATGTTTCATAATTTCTGTTCTTAATAAATAATATTTATATATATATATATATATATGCGTATATCCAAAGTATAATTTACAAATTTCCCCTACTTATAGTATATGTATATACCCAGTAGCGAATTCGGGTCGCCGTTGCGTTCGCTGCCGCATTGCCAACAACTGGCGTCATTGGTTTCTTATTGCGTAAATAACAAAAACAAAGTAACACTGAAGAATTGTACGTTAGAAAACGCCAGCGAAGTGGTATGAATGAAGGCCTGGGCAAAATGTAATCAATGCTGGAGGTCGACGCATACAATACATGTAACTTACTACTTCAACGGAGATCCGCAACCATTCGCTACTGGGTACATAAACACATCTGTTGGCTTGCCAGCAGATACATGTGTATGTGCATTTTGAGAGCGTCAAATCGCCCGAACGCAAGAGTGTTAACTCGTTGTCGCTCACTCGCTGCTAAAATGGCTGACAACGAGCTACATATCGCCAGCGTTTGCGTCCACAGTTGACGTTTGAAGCGCAAAATAGGTAGACGTCGTATTTTGACTACAAGCCGAAAAGAAATTTCGTTAAAACTCAAATATACTATATTAAATATTAAAAGATATGGAGGAAAAATTCAATAAACGTATGATAAGCTTGATACGTAAGAACAAATGTGTGTATGATCCGGCGGATATGGATTATCGGAATCGAACTGCTAAGGTTATTACTTGGAGGCGAATTGCACAGGATTTGAAAACTAAAGGTAAGGATATTGTCTTACATGCATACATATCTATATGTTTATATGTGTGTCTCCATATTTTTGAACATACATACGTAAAAATGTAGAGTTATGTGAGTATGTACATATGTGACTATGTATATTGAGAATTATTTCCAACATTCCTAAAAACATACCAACATATGTTTGTACATACATACAGGTAAACGAATGCGTATGTACATACATTTAATTTAGAATTATCAACAACATTTGTTTACTTTTTTTTCTTTCTTTAGACACATTTTGTAAAAAGCGCTGGAAATCACTGCGTGACTCCTATAAAAGATGGAAGCGCTCAGAAAAACGTGCTTCGGACGAAGAAAAGCCATACCATAAATTTAAGTACGCTGATGATATGGCCTTTTTGGATCGCATTAGGAATGTTAGTATGTAAGTGTACTATAATATTTACATATATATATATATATGAAATTAATTAATTTATCACTAAAACATTTATACATATGTACATTCCTTCTCCAAACAGATTCGAAAGCGCCGACTACGACTACCGTTTCGAAGATGAGGAGGAGGGCGAAGAAAACTACGATGATGGTGATAGTGATAATGGAGTTTCATGGCCTCCACTGCCGTCACCGAACAGTAGTGAAATGGAAGACATACAAAATGAATATGTAGAGGAATTGTTAAATGAAAATACCTGCAATAGCGACGACAAAGTGCCGCATAAATTGAAATCGAATACACTCAGGAAGCCTAAGGCTGAGATGACTCAAGATACGAGTATCCAACCAGATTTTATGGAAGTTAACACCAAGACTGCAGAAAATAAAGATAATGAAATCACCATAGGCGATCCACTAATACCACGAAATCCTACTTCACTGCTTTTTGAAAGCTTAGCTCAGAAAATTATATCTGCTGGCTTGCCACAAATTGCAGTGGACGCCATAGAGTTGAAGCTGGCTAAGGTGGTGTATGATGAAATTGCAAAGGCACGACGTAAATACGAAAATGTGTAAATGCTTGTTTAACCTTAAGAAGAGAGAAATATATTTTTTATTTAAAATAGAGTTAATTACATACACTAAACACATACAAACATATGAAATGAAATATTAATGCATTTTATTTATATTAAATATGATTATGCAATGTTAAAAATATGTTAAATTAATGCTTATGTATATGTATTTACCTATAAAAATAAAATAAATGAATTTTTAGTATTGTATATTAAAGGACAAAAGTCTTGTGGGAGATACTCAAAGTTTTCCAATTTTTGGTCGTTTATTTCACAAATCTTTTCCACACTTAATGTGTTAATTAAATGTTGACATGTTTTTTGTTTATCAATATATGCATATACATATGTACATACATAAATGAGATCAAAGTTACAAACACATAGATATGTATGTACACATTTATAAATATAATTTTACAATAAATGAATCGCTTAACAACCGCACAACGCGTTAAAATTGTAGGAACTTAATACAATACATGTGTCGTGCTTTAAGAGCAAATTATGGTGCACCAATTACTCAAGCGATTCCCACTCGGGGTTACGTAAATAAGAAAAATTGTCGAAGCTAATAAAATCCTAAAAAAAATTGAAGAGGGACCATTACACCCGAAAAAACTTACTCTCTGTTGCGTTCTTTGGTCTAAAGATGTGATTGCGGCGTTTACTTCTTTAAAAACGACAACGGCGAGACTTGCCGTCCATTCGCAACGTTACGATCGCAGGAAAACCAACTTTTTTTCGCTGAATATGGTTTTATTGCGAGACAAATTTCCCGGCAGCATAATCTTTCGTCTTTTCGATGCCAGTTGCCTATCGAGATCGTGTGATTTGACACGGATTCATAGCAAAAATAATATAGAAAAAGAAAATTCCGCCCTCTCGGTGTAATCAGTAAAAATTGGTAGCAATTGTTACTGCCATTAACTCACCGCACAGAACCAATAGCATGTACATATGTACATATGTATGTAGATTTCTATAAATAGAGCGTGAAATCGTCTTTGTCGCTGACGATATCATTGAAAAGCGAACGCTTTGTCGCTGTCGTTTGCGTCTACAAATGAATTTTGAAGCGTTAAATAAAAAATTGTCGTTCAATATACATATGTACATATGTATGTATATACAAGTGTACATGTATATAAATATTCATATAATTTATTGAATTTCTCAGATTTACATTGCAAAAATCGCTGCACTCTTATAAAATAGGAAGCGTGAAGAGAAACCGTCAGGTGGCAAGAATAAAGTAAGTAAATTTTAATAAGCTGATGATACATACATACATACATACACATTCTTTTCAGAAAATGTTATAGGTTTTACATATAAATATACATACATACATATATGTATGTACATTTAATTGCATCGAATAAAACGAACTTATTTTAAAACATTAAACTTTAATAAAATAATAAGAGTATAAGGGAGAGCCAACAATACTTTTCAATGGAGATTACGATAACGATGACGAGAAATAAATGAATGATGTAAATGCGTATGTACATATATGTATTTATTCTTTGAATAAAATGTCCTTTACCAATTGAATGACTTAAACATGTGTTTTTTTTTTGAGAATTTCCTTAACTGTTATTTCACAGTAAATTTTGTTTTTATTTATTCTCCGTTTAGTTTTAAAGGACTTCGGAAACGATTGTTGTTTTTAATAAAGTACATATATATGTACATACATATGTATTAATGCTCTACATATTTCTTAATTTTTTAAACTCAATGTAGGTACAGCTTAATAGTCTTTAAAACCTTAACCAAAAACAACATCATAACTCAAAGTAAACCATTTCAAATTATTTTCCTTAAATTAAAATTATTTTATTTAGAATTTCTAAATATATATTCTAAATGCGTTATCACACTGAGCGCTTCATAATCCTCTTGATTCATAACAAAGTTTTCTAATTTTCTTAAATAACGCAATGCTTCCGCATAACTGCTTAAGCCACCTCTGGATGCTGATATCGTTGTCGGTATCTCTGGGGATGTGCTGTTATTGGCGGTGGTATTTATCGATTCAACTTTAATAATTTTGAAGATTTTACAATCTCCGGACGTTATCTCTTGGTTATCATCGCTGGATCCTTTTTCTTGTTTTACTTCAAGGTCATCTTCAGTTTCTGATTTTATATTCACCTCGGTGTGTTCTTGAACACATCTCCCAGCAGCTGTTTTTAATTTCACACGTGTTCTTCGAATATCCTTTTCTTCAACAACTTTTTTCCGCTTCGGCACAGAAGCTGGAGTGCTGCCTTCATTATAACGATTCTCTTTTCTAAAGCTTTCCTGTTTCTTAGCTTGCACTCTGTCTTGGGACAATTTCTCAAAAGTTGGGCTCAATCTGGCTATACGCTCAGCTTCTACCATGAGTTTACGTCTCTCCTCTCTATCCTGCTCTCTTATGTATTCAATAATATCATTGCAATCTAACGAACGCCGGTTTTCAATATTATTTTCCAATTTCTCCATCAAGTCCATTAGATCTAAACGATTGGAATTCACTTTGAAGGCATGCAACCACTGTTCGTCTGGTGTGAAATCCTCAATACCCAAAGCCTTTTTAACTTCTAATGCTTTCTGTCGAATAACCGCCGTATCTGTTGGCATACGAGAGTTCATGGCACGAAGTAGATACTCGAAAACAGCCTTGCCGAGCAAGTCCATCTTCTCTTCATGGGAGCTAGGCTCTGCGCAGTTGTTGATATTCTGCGCACGGAAAGTCTCATAACGCTCCAATAGTTCATCTTGGCAAGCTATAATGCACTTAATTTGCATTGTACTGCAGTCGAAAAGCCTCGCCAATTTCTGATAATTTTGTAGATATTTATATGCTTTTACCACTTGAATTCGTTGTGCCAAGGAAAGCTTCTTGTATGGCCGGTAGTCACGTATTTTAATCTGGTCTGAGTTCATTTTGTATGTTGATGCAAATGCACTTGTTCAGTTAGGAGCCAAGGCAGCAAAATTGACTTGGATTATGATTCAAAAGCTTCAGAAAACCACATTAACCCTACTCACACCATTTCAACCGAAATAACAACACTCAACGATCAAATTGTGTTGGATACTAAATACATGGCGAGTAGAGCACAATGCACTACCGCGTTGAGGAGAGCCGAGCACTGACTGCTGGAAATGTTGTACAGTGTACGCTCAATCAGAGAGTAACCAACTGGTACAATGTGTAAATATGTATTATATTTATGTTGGTTTGGAAAAACACAAGCGCACGCAAGGTCTATGCAACAGCAAAGTGTTGGATGTGAACGCTTCGTTTTGGCGCAGTCAGTCGCATGTAAAGTGGCCCTCTGCGTTCGTATGCATACCATGTATGTATGTTTCATATGGGAGTTTGTAAATACCTCTCGCTGCGTTTGGGTGCTGAATGATTCGTAAACATTCAACAAGTAGAAGCAGGTCAAAACAGCTGTTCAGTTGTGTAGCCAAAAAAAAAATATTTGGTGCACACATTCATACATACCTATACACTTCTGTAGTACACGGCTCCTGCAACTATATTACAAAGAGCGAGATCTATGGCGACCCTCTTAATAAGCTTGAGGAAGGAGTCCGACTGTTAATAACTCGAAGTTTCTAAGCTGCCACCCAAAAAATAATCAGCCAGCCGGTGAGAAAAATTTTCGACTGCCATTCACTTGGTTCAAGCAGCTCATGACATCCGGTTTTAGACCAAGTATCCTCCGGGTAGCCACGAAGCATCGGGATGGAGGTGAGCTAAGCTGAGAAAGCGAATCCAATGCGGTTTTTCGTAGGTTTTGGGATCTATCACATGAAAAATATAGTCTAATTAAAAAATTTAGAAAAGCCTTGGCTGAGGACTCCTCGCAAATTTTTTAAGGATTACGACTTGAAAGTCTGGTCCTTTAATTAAGAAGATACCTCTGCTCAGCTAATCGATGACCTCGAAAGATTAAAGGCTGACGTCTTTTGTGTGCAAGTAGTGTGATGGACGGGACAAGTACGGAACGAATATGTCATTGTGACATTTACTACAGCGTAAATTTGGTGTCGGATTTGTGGTAGAAGACAGATACCGTGGTCGAGTTCATTTACTCCGGTGAATGAACGCCTCGCCACAATCAGCACCATGCCTTGAGGGAATGAAAGACGATGTGCCCAAGGAGGCTTTCTTTGAGCAATACCTCCGCCACAATGTCAAAATTGTGCTTGGCGACTTAAACGCCAGTATGGGCAATGGTATCTTCGGCACAAATCTCAGAAAATTTAGCCTCTACGAGGAAACATCCCCAAAGGGAAAAAAATTATTAAATAATTTCAGTTGATACCAATTCATATATTTTTTTAGTTCTCTCGTAACGTTGAATGTGCCAATACTTTTTGCCGGGTCTGTACATACATCAATAACTGAATTTGTGCATGCATCTGTAGGTTGGTATAAGTATTTATATATATAATATTGTTTATAGAGACATGTTTGTATGAATGGATGATTACGAGTATATGTATGTATTTGCTGAGAGCTTCAAAACGACCAAATGCGAGAGCGTAAAATCGTCGTTGTCGCTAACGACATGGCTGTAAAAACGAACGTCTTGTCGTTGTCGTTTGTATCTACAGTTGACGTTTGAAGCATAAAATAGAAAGACGTCGAATGCTTGAAGCAGTGGCCGTTATTGTTTAATTTTGCAAATAGTATTTTAGTATATAAGTGCGAGCATACATACATACGTATATGTATAGATATAAAATTTATTATATTACAAAAAATGGATCAAAAACTCAATAAACGTTTGATTGAATTGATAAGAAAAAACAATTGCCTATTTGACGGCGCCTCACCGGATTATCGAAATAGGCATGCCAAAGCTAAAATATGGAGAAAAATTGCACAACAACTAGATGTGAAAGGTATTCAAATGAAATTTTTACCTACTTACATATGTATGTGTGTTCACTCTTTACATATGTAGGTGAGTATGTATATATAAATCATACCTTTCCGTACAAACATGTGTATAAATATTTACATAATTTTTTTTACTTCACAGATGCACATTGCAAAAATCGCTGGGTATCTCTTCGTGACTCGTATAAAAGGTGGAAGCGTAAAGAAAAACGGTCAGGTGGCAAGGATAAAACACATAAATTCAAATATGCTGATGATATGGCTTTTTTGGAAAATATTAAAAGTTATTATATGTAAGTATCAGCTTGAAGTACGCGCGGAGGTAGGGGTTGTGGAACTTATTGCAGTGTGAAAGCGCATTTTTATGAGCATTTTTTTTCAAAGATTTTCAAACGCTACCAGATAAAATTAATTTTCGGACATTTAAGTTAAAATACCTAATTTGTACACTCACTAGAAGACTCGCAAAAAAAGTTTAGAAGATGAACATATAATACACCAATAAATAATATATGTATATATTTATATAATAATACATTATTGGCGGTTTGAAACCGCTGAAGCGATTTTCGGCTGAGCTTCTCCACCAATTTGTGGTTTTGCGTCTTGGTATTTTTCCAACAATGGGGACTTACAGTTTATACTAAGTCACCTTTGAACGGCGGATTACCTGCCGAAGGCCGACTGATATTAGAAAATTTAACTTAATATTTTGTTTAAATTCATTTTCTATAACTTTTCGATGTTGGTCGTACCAACTAAATATTACTTTTAAATAAAATGTTATAAATGGATGGAGTAATAAATTTAGGTATTTCTCCGGAAATAATTACTCATTTCGACTTCGTATTGTAAATATCAAGGCTGCATTATAACGATAATTTTCAAATGGATCAAAAAATTTCTTTCGTTTAATACATTTGAAATTCTTATTGTTAAAGCAGTTATCAAAATGAATTTCCTTTCGTTTTTATCCGAAACGAAAAGCTGTCGTTAATGTTAAATAGTTAACAGATAATGTTAAACACTAAAATTGTGCTGTTAAATCATAGCGAGCAGCCATTTTAAAATTAATGTTAACTATGGGTTTTGTGCGGTTTCAACATTCATGATTTTATTTCGTTTTCATTAGCGAATTTTCTTATTAGCGAACCGGTATGATATAGTTGCCTTTCTTTGACCATTTCTGATATATCCATACATATAATGATAAACATATTTTTTATTGTTCGAAATATTATAATGTTTAAAGTAATATTAAGGTGTTTCTTCGCAATTACTAATTTTTCCTTTTAAATAATTACAATTATAATTTATTACAATTCTTTATTGAAATCTCTCATTTCCTGCCATCGACAAACGTCTAAATTTAATTAATATTCACGCGTTATTTCGATCTGGTCAGCTCTATTTTTCCAATAGCAACTGTAAACGCTCTTGCTTTCCAATGGAATAAGCATGATACATATCTTTATCTCTGGCACTAGTTTGTTTTAAAATTAATTCATTTTATTACAAAATTACATTTTCCTCTATACAGACCCAGGGATAGCGCCAATACCACACACTTCTCCGACGAGGATTATACCGACGACGACGATGATGAGCAGGTGAATGATCGTGATAAAGAAGATTCTTGGTCAGCTTTACATTCACCCGAATATACACAAATGGAAGACAAACAACAAGCTAATGAAGCAAGTAAACCAAATGACAATATTCCGAACAATGCCGTAGCATCTGATAATGCGAACCCAGTTACGAGTATGACTGAGAATGATCAAATTATTAGTATGCAGCCGGTTTTTATGGAAGTCAAGACTGCTGAAAATAGTGATAATGAAGTGAGCATCAGAGATCCATTGACAGCTCGAAATTCCACTTCGTTGCTTTTCGAAAGTTTAGCGCGGAAAATAATCTCTTCTGGCATGCCGCACACTATGGTAGATGCTATTGAGTTGAAGGCGGTTAAACTTGTGTATGATGAAATTTCTAAGGCACGACAAAAGCGTGAAAATCCGTAGTATTCAATAAAATTTAATAAATAAAAAAAATTCGGTAAAATGTTAATAAATAGTATTGTGTTGAAGTATTATCCATAGTTCTGTTCGGTGAGCTGTTGGGCAGTAAAAATTGTTACTAGTTTTTACGAAATCGCGTTCGGTGTGCCAAAATGCAAGCCAAATTTGTAACGAGAGAGTGAATATTTAACATTTTATTACTGGGTAATTCTAACTGACATTTCTCACCGAACAGCGCTAATGTTTGCTCGTATTGTATTTAACTGTATGCATGTTTATTTTTTAAGAACTCGAATGAAAATAATTTCCTTTATATACTATTTCATTTTTTTTATTTGAAACTTTGAATAAAATTACTCTAAGCAATTGAATGAGTTAAACATGAAACTTTTTCGATTTTTACCATTCCATACCCCACATTTCCATAGGCGACAGCCCAGCGGCTATCATTTCGGCTGATAAATGCCAGCAATTTGGTAAAGATTGGTCCATGCATTTAAGCTTTTAAGTATTTTTTGAAATTCTTAAAAAAAATCTGCTGAAAGGGAAGAAAAAGAATTATTTAACCTTAAGGTGCCCTCAGACAGAATTTTCACTTATATTTTACTTTCCCGTCACTTTTTACTGTGGGCACTCCGAAACTGGTGTCTGCAATTTAATTTCACATAATTGCAGTAGTAAAAGTTGCACTCAGGTATCTGCATTTGATTTCTGAGACTGAGTTTTCAATTGCTCGTGCTGCACTAGGAATTTTTCTCGCTCTTGAATTTGAAAAGGATTTGTGTATTGTAAAAGAAGATTTTGATAAATTAATGTGAAATGAAATAATTTCCAGAAATTGAAATTTAATTTCCATATAACTTTTCATGCCTCATGAGACTGAAATTAAATTTCGAAATGTGTAATAGTGACATGTAATTTGAAATTAATTAATTGGTATATCTGACGGCACCTCTAAAATAACTGTGCTCGGTAGGAAGTGCCAGTGAGAATTACTCTGCAAGAAAATTTCCAATTATTTAAGCCAAGACTTTTCAATTATTTTTCCTTATATTTGGGAAGGACTTCGGAAACGATTGTTGTTTTTAATAAAGTACATATATATGTACATACATATGTATTAATGCTCTAAATATTTCTTAATTTTTTAAACTCAATGTAGAAGCTGTACCTACCTAATAGTCTTTAAAACCTTAACCAAAAAAACATCATAACTCAAAGTAAACCATTTCAAATTATTTTCCTTGAATTAAAATTATTTTATTTTGAATTTCTAAATATATATTCTAAATGTGTTATCACACTGAGCGCTTCATAATCCTCTTGATTCATAACAAAGTTTTCTAATTTTCTTAAATGACGCAATGCTTCCGCATAATTGCTTAAGCCACCTCTGGATTCTGATATCGTTGTCGGTATCTCTGGGGATGTGCTGTTATTGGCGGTGGTATTTATCGATTCAACTTTAATAATTTTGAAGATTTTACAATCTCCGGACGTTATCTCTTGGTTATCATCGCTGGATCCTTTTTCTTGTCTTACTTCAAGGTCATCAAGGTCAGTTTCTGATTTTATATTCACCTCGGTGTGTTCTTGAACACATCTCCTAGCAGCTGTTTTTAATTTCACACGTGTTCTTCGAATATCCTTTTCTTCAACAACGTTTTTTCGCTTCGGTACAGAAGCTAGCGTGTTGCCATCATTATAACGATTCTCTTTTCTAAAGCTTTCCTGTTTCTTAGCTTGCACTCTGTCTTGGGACAATTTCTCAAAAGTTGGGCTCAACCTGGCTATACGCTCAGCTTCTACAATAAGTTTACGTCTCTCCTCTCTATCCTGCTCTCTTATGTATTCAATAATATCATTACAATCTAACGAACGCCGGTTTTCAATATTATTTTCCAATTTCTCCATCAAGTCCATTAGATCTAAACGATTGGAATTCACTTTGAAGGCATGCAACCACTGTTCGTCTGGTGTGAAATCCTCAATACCCAAAGCCTTTTTAACTTCTAATGCTTTCTGTCGAATAACCGCCGTATCTGTTGGCATACGAGAGTTCATGGCACGAAGTAGATACTCGAAAACAACCTTGCCGAGCAAGTCCATCTTCTCTTCATGGGAGCCAGGCTCTGCGCAATTGTTGATATTCTGCACACGGAAACTCTCATAACGCTCCAATAGTTCATCTTGGCAAGCTATAATGCACTTAATTTGCATTGCACTGCAATCGAAAAGCCGCGCCAATTTCTGATAATTCTGTAGATATTTATATGCTTTTACCACTTGAATTCGTTGTGCCAAGGAAAGCTTCTTGTATGGCCGGTAGTCACGTATTTTAATCTGGTCTGAGTTCATTTTGTATGTTGATGCAAATGCACTTGTTCAGTTAGGAGCCAAGGCAGCAAAGTTCACTTGGATTATGATTCACCAAAAGCTCCAGAAAACCACTTTAACCCTGCTCACATCATTCCAACCGACATAACAACGCTCAGCGATCAAATTGTGTTGGATACTAAACAGATGACGAGCAGAGCACGACGCCCTACCACGCTGAAGAGAGCCGGCCTGTGTATGTACATATATATGCATGTTTATTAGTTCGGAAAAATATAAGCGCATACAAGGTTCATGCCAGAGCAAAGTCAGTCTCTTGTAGATTTACTCTCTGCGTTCGTATACGTGCATATACACAAATGTATGTTTTGTGCCTTATATGTATGTTTGTATGTAAATATATACAAAACAAATTTTATAAACACTCGGTAGCTCTCGTTAGCATTGAGTGCTGAACAATTCGTAAGCATTCAACAAGTAGAAGCGGCTTCGAACAGCTGTTCATCTGTGTACTGTCTGCGAAATCGTTATATTCATACATTCATACATACATATGTATGTATGTATTTTCTTTGCCTTCATTGAAAATTATTCATTGTACGAATTCAACAATGGCTTCATTTTCATGCTAAGGACGAGTCTGGCTTTCCAGGAACCAACCGCTATTTGTTATATATAATTTTGAGAATTTTTAAGAACTGATCCTTGGAAAACCTAACGATGCTTCGGAGTTCAATTACGATATTCAGAACTCTCCATTAGCGCAGGGATTGAAGAGATGGACCATGAATTACCTGAGCGGCCGATAGTCAATGGTAGAATTTCAAGGTCAAACTGAAAGTTCAGCATGTAAAAAGAAGGCGTCCCACAGGACGCTGTCCTCTCGCCTTTCTTTATTGACTAAGTGGTATTGAAGCTTCCTAGCGATCAGCTTTTCAAAATTCCTTCACTTGGCTTTGTTACCAGCCCAGAAAAAATAATCGAGGATCGCATTTATCTACAAGAGAGAGAGAGAGTTTCGTATCATGTTAACTTTGATTGCCCGGCATCACAGTCACAGTCCGGTCCTAAACAACATCGCACCGAGTTTTGCACCAGGGACTGTGGGACACAGATGAAGAAATTACAAGAATATTGTATCAACAAGAAAATACTTGACTGACTCCATTTTGAATCATATTACGCAACCGCTGCCGCCAAGCCTTAAACATAAATTAAAGAGTCTTTCTGTAAATGGAAATTCCACCACCACCCATAGCAGACGAGGAGGCAGAATTGAGATCTGGACCTCTCGTTAGAGGTCCTCGATGACTTACACTGATCTTGCCTGTTCAACAACAGAAGACTAAGAGCTCTCACGATAGTTCGAGTTGACTATAAGCAGCGAGCTTCTCCATTAAAATCCCTTATCTAACACCCCTCCCTGTCTGGATTAAAGTCAGAGTATTTCCGGGTATCGATGGACTTTAGTCGCCTTAATCCGCAGGGACTTGCAAAAAAAGGAAAGTTCGTTGGGTAAACAATTTTATTTAAATAAATTCGTTCAAATATATTTTTTACCCAATTATTGCTAAGTCTACTCATTGGAATGTAATCATAATTAAATCTTATAAATATAATTAATTAACAAATACTCTTATACTTCTGAATAATAATAAATAAATATAAAAAATACAATTATACATACATATACATACATGTGTACATGTGTATATACAAATTGAATCAATGGGTTATACGCTTCAGTTTCGGTGGATTCTTGAATATCTGCTCCAGCTGTGTTATCAAGCCAATGGCACGATAATTCTCCTCAATCATAGCGAAATCCTCTAAAACCCGAAGGTGACGCAACGCCTCTGGGTAGCTGTGTATATCTGCAAATGGTGGGGGAGTGATGGGCTTTAATGGTGGCACGTTGTTGTTGTTATTATTATTGCTTACTGCTCCCTTCTTAACAGCAGACGAATACACCTCATTAACACTCTCTCCACCAGTTTCGTCATCCGCTTCCAGATCAACCACAATGGGTTCAACAGTATTCACACTTTCCTCATCATCATAATCGCTTGAACCAAACTCGTTCGCGTGCATATTAAAACCCATTGTGTGCTCATCGTTACTATACGTACTGCTGTTATCATTCCCACTCTCCCACAAGTTATTACAATTCTCATCGTCCAACACATTCACCCTGCGCCGCTCCTCTCGCTCTTGCCCGCTTACATAGTCAATGATGTCTATGCATTTCAACGATTGCCGCTTTTCCATGTCGCTGGGCAATCGCTCCATCATACCCGTTAAATCCAAACGATTATAAGTTGCTCGGAAATCTTGCAACCAAGAATTGTTCGGGGAGAAATTTTCAATAGCAATCGCTTCTTTAACCTCAAACGCTTTCTGTCGTATGATCGACGTACTGATTGGCATGCGAAGGTAGAGGGCGCGCAACAAAAACTCATAAACCACTTTGCCGAGGAAGTCGATCTTCTCTTGGCGCCGTGTGGCAGCTTCGTCCGTCTCCTTATTAGCACGAACATTGTCATAGTGACGTAGTAAGGCATCCTTCTTTGATATAATATTCTTTATCTGTTTGGCACTGCAACCGAAACGACTCGCTAAACGCTGATAGTTGGGCATGCGTTTGTAAGCTTTGATCACTTGAACGCGTTCCATCATCGTAAGTATGTTGCGTGTTTTGTAATCACGATGTTTCGGAAACATTAATTCCATTATAATACGATGGCAGAAAAGCAAATAACAAATCAAATCAACTGCCAAAAGCAATGAGTCAGATAAAGCTCTGGAAAACTATGGTTGCAAAAAATCGTACGCACAAACTGCTATTGCTACGTACGTTCTAACCGAACCAACAACTCACTGCGCCCAAACTCGATCGTATACTAAGCTGTTTGGCGACGACACACAAAAACCGTCGATCGGCTTTGAGCGAGAGACTTGGCATCGAAGACATGAAAAAAGAGTTCGCTCAGTAAGCGTGGTTGGATCTGTTTTCAATTCCACGTAGGAGTGTATAGGTATATATGTATGTATGCCATGAAACTGAATGTGAATGCTTGACTGTACAATGCGATGCACATACATACCTGCATACATACAGTTCCAGACGAGGTTACGGTGCTTCGCGTTGTTCTCAAGAGCCGTGTTGTCGAGCCATTTCTGTTGGGAGCGTCACCAGCTCGTCACATTCCGTTACTCTCGGGGAGTTCGGCTATTGAGCGCTAGTTCGGCTCGGCTCAGGTTATTGTTGTTGAGAGAATATCTACCGATCTGTGCGAAGTGCGAGCTCAGCACGTAGAAAAATATTCTGCTTTAATATTTAAGATTACTACACGCAGTGTTACATACATATGAACATATGTACATGTATTGCTGAAATAAACAGACAAACATATGTATTTCCATAGTATTTATTAAAGCACACTAGTTAAAAGTACGTACGTAGGTATATATGTATATATGTACATACAAATGTGTTTGTGCGGTTTGCACAGTAGTTTTTTTTTACCTACTGGTATTGAAGATAAGACTCTTGCCAATACACATATGCGTACATAGATATGTGTGCACCATATATATGTAAATGTTGTTATTTGTGAGTGCGTACATACATACATACATATATATATATGCGGTTATTTTAAAACGTAAGTTCTTCAAGAGGCATTGAGTAAATTAATATTTTTGTAAATCGAGAGAAATTACGAACAATCCAGCCAAGCTCAGGTACCAAGTTAGGTAGTTATGCACATACATAGATATTTAGAGTCTCCAGTACTAGTAAAACAAAGCTTCGGAGCCAAAAAAGTTGTTTTATCAACGAAGGGTGTATGAGTGAAGAACACGTGTATATGTAAGCCCAGAGAGGAATGAGTTCGAAAGCTTGATAAATCGTAACATTATTTTGGCATAACGTCCAAAGACCGACGTATTTGTACTGTCACTACCAATTTGTGGATCGAGAAATCAAGACCCATGCTAATAACTCCATTAACATACATACATACATATGCATGTATGCACACGCTTCCAATCGGCTTATCGGAATTACCTGTGTTGGCTACAGAAAAAACTGGCCGCAACAAACATTTTCAACACAACTTTCTGTTGGTTGCCTTGTCAAGCTAATGATCTACCGATCTGCTGGAGCTAATAGCTGTGTTCGGTGAGAAATTTCCGTTTGAATTAACTACTAAAGAAATGTAAAAAAATTGCGCTCTTTCGATACAAATTTTACTGGTTTTTTGTCTCACCGAACGCGGTTCAGTAAAATTCAGTAAAAATTTGCACTGCCCATAGGGCCATCGAATGCAACTAAAATTTGCTGTGCATTCTCAGTAGTTGAATGATTAGCGGGGATAGTGAGAACCTCTGCAACTTACTAAGCCGCTCGGCGTATGGTCATAAAATTGACACGCACCGATTTGAACGTCAGGGACTAGTGAGACATTCAAGAAGAATTTACCGTCAGCCAGAATATCAGAATATCGACATGCACCACGGTCGTCGTCTGAAAAGGAAAAGCTTTTTTTTGTTGTATTTCAGATTTAAGAAAAAAAAGTTTCTCCCAAAATTCCACCAGATGTTTGGTTGTGACCTATAGCTCGGGGTACATCTTTATTGATATTGGCACACATTTTTTTCTTACAGTGTAAAATGAAGTATTCAAGTTATTATCTAATACAACAACCTAGCCAGTCTGCAGAGCCATTCGAAAGCGTCATCTTCGGTTCCCATAGATGTCGCCCTTATCAAACTGGTGCGCAGATAAACTATGTTTTAGTTACTATTCAACGGCCGGTAGGTGAATGTCAGTTTGAATTGAAATTTATATGAAAATAAAATTAAAGCCGATATTATTTTTAAAATTATATAAAAAAAAAATTTATGTGCTCAAGCACATGTTTGTGTGTGTGATTATACATACATGTGTGTCGCCCCTCGCTGAACTGTGGCAATTTTGCCATGCAAATCGTACAGCTCATCGTTCCGTCGTCTGCAATATTCGCCGTTACCAATGCGTAAATTTCCATAAATCGTTTGAAAATTATATGGTACTTCAAAGCTAACAGCAGAGAACGTAAATACAATAAGTACGTTTTCTGCTAACAGGTCAGTTGAAAATTTCCCTGGTTTGAGACATAGATGGCGCTACTAAAATTAAATCCGTATTATTTTTGGTTAGCCCTAACCTTCAAAAGACACGTGTATAAATTTGAAAGCTTTCGGAATACTAGTTTGTGAATTATGTGTATAATTTTGTTATTGTGAAAAAATTTATTTTCGCATGTTGTTGCTTCACCAAGTCAATGCACCGTATTACAAGTCAGTGGAAACGATGGCAAATATCCATGAATTGAGCTTTGAATTGCTTTCCCATCCACCGTTTTCCCCAGATCTAACTACCAGCGGCTACTTCCTGTTCTCAGATCTTAAAAGAATGCTCGCTGGTAAGAAATTTCTCGTCAAATGAGCAGGCGATCACCGAATCTGAGGCCTATTTTGAAACAAAGTACAAGTCTTACTATAAAAGAAGATACACGATTGAATGCCCCTCTGTTTGCAAACTCCTTCAGTATCGAACGCTCGAATAGAACCTCCCCGATTCAGACGGCGTATTTCGTTTTGCGTCCTTCTTAAAGCAACCTGCGATAGTATGAAAAAGAAAAGCCTCAGTGCCACTAAGTTTGAATATACATATAAGTTTCGCGGGGATACAAAATTCTTATGCACATAGTGACACAGCAGCAGCTCTTTTTCGTAATGTCGCAAGCTGCTTTAGACACATTTACATAGCAAAGCCATTTTTGTCTCAAAACCGACGTCCGAATCTCTCTAGTGAATAGAAGCTGCAATAATACGTAGGGACCCTTTAACCACATAAGAGACGAGGGTGCCACCGTTGGAATTTGGTATAGCCTTATAACTGTAAGTGCGTACACAGAAGCAGGGCACACCCCGAGATATAAAATGCTTCGCCTGGGTACGAAATGTGGATATCTGTTACACTTGATTTCAGCACAAAATCATCCATGCCCATCCATTAACATGATTGTCCTCCTATTGATAGAATTCAAGCTGATTCGTTTATATTTTGTTCAATGGTAATATGTTTCGCACTCCCTGAAGCTCAAAGATCAGCTCGGTCCAATTTTTATGTCACAGCTAAAGACCTCTTCCGACGTGGATAGAATACCTTCGAGCGGATTGGTTTTAAGGAGTTCTCTACCTTGACTTTTTTTAAATTAAAATACAGTGCATGTACATTTATACATACATACATATGTATGTGAGTGCTCATGAAAATGAAATGACGTCAGTATCGGTCACAAAAGTGTCATGAATCTCATGAATTCATTTAAATTCAGAATTTCCGGATGCAAATTGCCACAAAACTTGACGCAATGTCTGAGCGGCCGATAATTTGCCCAAGAAATGGATTGGATTGACTGAGTGTCTGGCTGTCCTGCAGCGAAAACAGAAAAAAAATTCCCACAAACAACAAAGAAGACGAGAGAAAATGTAAAAAAATCGGAACTCAGCGGCCAGCAGCTGTGATTTCTTTGATTTAAATTCGTCAAATTGCGCGCAGCTGCGCAAATGTAAAACAAATTCATATATACATACATATACATACATATGCGTATGCATAAGTTCAATTACAACTTGATGATCGCTGGTGATGTAAAATCTGTGCAAAAGTGGTGATCGCCGCTACTTTTACTCACGCTTTTCCGCAGAGGCAATTCAACTGGACATATCATACAAATGTGTGTTTATACATACATACATATGTAAATTGTGCATCTTTTACATAGCATACGTACATACATCTACTATACATATTGGTGCTCTGCTAGCAGACAGTCACCAAAAATGCAAGACATTCCAGTCAGGGTCGCAAGTCGCAGTCGTTTTACTAACAGCTGAAGCTATTATATACATACATACATACATATGCATGTATGATCGGGTGGTCAGTATGCACTCTAGCGTACTTCCTTTCGAATGCGAGTGGCATACAGACCCACTACTACGTACGTATGTATGTATGTATGTACGAGCTTAAAGTACTCCAATTTGAAATCAGTACAAATACCTATTTGTTTTGCCCATATACATACATACATTCATATGTATGTACACAAAAGAAGTTGTATAAAAGGAAATATTTGTTTCCATTGTTGTGCACGACTTCGGCTTCTTGATGTCAACGCCGCTGTTGTTGTTGCTATTATAAAACGCCCTTTAGGCATAAACAACCCTTTTGACTTTTTCCGCTGCTGTGAAGAAATATTTTTCTTCTTTGAGTTTATTGCGCAGCTCTTGTTCTTTTTCACTGCATTTCTTAAGAAACTGTTTATTTATGAATTTTTTTTCCACAACAATCAAATGCACAGCTGTTCGATACAGTAGCGGGTAAATTAAAAGCCTCACTAGCGATTTTACATAGCTCCCAGCCGCACCAACCGATCGGAAGATGAATGTGTAGACAAACGCTAAGGACAATGAGGTTTTGGGTAAAAAATGGGTCTCAAAAGTATCTAAGCGTATGACATTTTGTATTCTATATATAAGCATTGTCACCGAAAATCACTCAAATCGGAGGACCAAACATGGTTTTCCAACAAGATGTGTTTTTTTTTGAAACTCTAAGAAAATTAGCATTTTTTGACAGAAAGGATCGAATTTTTATTTCAATGTTAAGTGGA